TATCTTCTCTGACACACAACAACATGCTGCTGCTGGCAAGCTTGCTGCAACATGGTACCAAATTCTCACTTTAATATACAGACATCAAGTTATCTAATCTCACATGATTTATTTCAGATCTCCTTTATTTTAGAATAAGAAACAGGCACCTTTCAGCATTAATTGTTCTAATTGAGTCATGGTAGTTATGCAGTAACAGTTTTCTTTGCTCCAAAAGTTAATTTTATCACTTTTTTCCCTCCTTTTTCCTCCTCCAGTGAAAAGGTATGTGGCCTTGACCCGCACTCTACTCTGGTGAAAACAGTATGAAAGAAACCTTAAGGATGACAAAATAAATTCTTAGTATTTAGAGGCATTCCAGAAATGATCTTTTAAATCCTAACTTTCTTGTAGAAAAGGATTTCCAAATTATCACAGAATGGTTTGGGTTGGAAGGGACCTTAAAGATGATCCAGTCCTGTTAGATTTACTTCCAAATTTTACTTACCTTTAGATTCTTGCTGTGCTCAAATCACTTTGCCCATGACCAGCAATTGCCCAACCCCTTAGCTACTCACTCCAAGGTTAAAAAACCTTAAGCTTTCTATTTTGTATAAATATTTATTAGAACACAGCTGAGTGCAATTCTCACATTCCAGGTGAATGTAATTATCACTGTTTGGACCATTCTCAAAGCAGTCTCCTTAATTTTATACTTCTGGTTTACTAAAACAGGCTTGTGATTTAATAACCACATTATCCACAAGAAAATGTGACTGCTGTAAGGCATAGATAAAACTAAAAAAAATCCTCCTGTGAAGATGAAGGTAATAGGGAAAGATTGTTAGCATTAAAATAAAAGTTTCTCTAACGGTCAAAGTGTATAAAACTCCAAGTATTCCTCAGACCAGGAGTATAGTGTTTTGTACAATAGCTGGCTGGGCAATTCCTGACACTCTTGAAACCAGCCTGAACAGTGAGGACAAGGCAGCGTGGTTATCTGCAGCAAATGTAGTTTATCTGAAGCTCTGTAGTTGCCCTCCTTATCTGAAGTGCTGCGAGGGGCACACTGATTGATCACAAGGAAAGCAGGTAGTTATTTCAGACTTGGCTCTGCCCCCACAATTCATGCTGAGCGGTTTTTCTTCCTGCTGCAATTCCCCACAAGCTCCGGGGACATCACTGCCTCATCTGCAGGACGGGGCTTCCTCTGCTACATCAGCGGCTAGTTGTCCCACAAAGGGAGGAATATCTAAAATTAAAATAATACTGTTGAAGAACAATTTTGTCATTTTCTGTCTTGTTAAGGGATGACTTAGCAAACAACCTAGCTGCTACACAAGGCCATTGCTTGCTCCCTAGCACCAGGGCCTTAATCTTCTTGCCTGACTACAAGCATCTGCATGTAATCTAGTCATTAGGGCAAGAACTTGCTCACCACCAAAGCCCACGAGCCCAGCCAAACCACCAGTCACACCAGCAGCTCCTGGGCCTCGAGGCAGCAGCAGGTGGGGCCACAGTCGGGGCAGCCCACTGTACCTACACAGGCAAAAGGCATGGCTGAACCCCAGCCGGGGGGCTTCTCAGCAAGGGGCAGCACCCCTGTGGCTACAGGTACTGCAGCAGCGTACTCCCATCTGGCAGCTGTGGGAGTGGGGCATGGAGCCATTCCATGCCATCCCCAGATCAAAACCATGGGAAAGTCTAGTACTACGGCAAAGAACATCTTCAGTTGTATTCTAGGTCTTTTTCCTCCACTGATGCAAATTCAGAGTTCAGTCTGGCGTATTTTCCCTTACACCAATAAAGTTCATCCCAATATAAAATAATTTATACTGTAGCAGCTCTTCAGTTTAACATGGCTCATAAATGTTTTATGAAAAAAGTTGGTGAGGAGTTAAAAGTAACAGAACTTGCAACACTTTAGCTTTACTTCCCATGGTTTTTTTCATTAAGATGTAAGCAAGTTTTTTGAAATGTTGTTTAAATTTGAGATAATATATAGCCAGTTATTAGTTTTTTGTCTAATTAATCATTTACTGACTTTTAAACTAGAAACTCCAACTCAACTGATTTGCCTCAAAAACTTCCATATACTCTAGGCTCACAGCTAGTTGTAAAATTTTTTGCCTAGAATGTATTTTTGTTAATATTGATGAAGTGATGTAAATATCAGTGGTTAATTACCAGAATCTGTGTTGTCTAGGAATCCATCAGGAAAACTGGATTCAGAAAACAGGAACATAGATCTAACTTGCTGTCAGAAAGGTGAGATTAACACAGTTTTCATGTGCTACTGTCCAGAGTTCAGGTATGATAAGCTGGGACAAGACATGCTGCATACAAATATTTCCAGGAGGAATAAACTGCATAGCAGTAATTTATCAGTAAAAACATAAAGGGACAGGGAAAAGGTTAAAGACAAAGCTCAAAGTTGCCAAGATTTGAGAGAGGAATAAATAGCGGAAAGGCCAAACAATAAAGTGGGGCCCAGACCAACTAGGTAACCCATGGGGTAAACTTAATTGCACATTTAATATGTGTAAAATATAGCAAGACCAAGCACAACAGGCTAGATACACAGGATAGGGAAATCTCACCCTAGGAGAAAGTTGCTTTGCAACTACTTAAACATTTCTTGAAACTAAATGTTTTCACCAGCTCTTCTTTGACAGCTACACAAGAAAGCATACTGGAATTAGTTTCTCATTTAGGAAGCAGGGAATGTTCACAGAGAGGAGAGTAGATCATTAGTCACTGCTATAACATCAAATACCTTTAAGAAAAAAATTGAGACATTTAAGAAAATTTTGAAATGTTAGAAAAAATTAAAATATTTACAGAAAGTGAATTTATAATTTCAAATGTTTAATCTGCTAACAAAATGCATTGCTCCAAGTTGAGTGTAACAAACATTCTGTTTGTCAACAGTTCTTTCCTTTATATTTACATTTCTCCTTCTGCATTTCAAAATGGGAATTAAAGCTGCAAAATAAAGAAACTTAACATTTATCAGAGACATCTGTAATTGGAAGGACAAAACTGAGATGAAAAGGCTCCGTTCAAAGCTTAGTCCCTCGAGGCTCAAGTGTCATCAAGAATTTAAGCACAATTTCATCATATAGTTCCTGCACAAAGGCAATGTCTAGAAGTTGTACTAGCAGCCTCATCTTCTCACATTTTGCTCCTTGACCTACTGACAACCTGCACAACAGAACTACCATTGGCATCTGGCACAGGAACAGGCAAAACAGTGCAAGCAGAAAGCAGAAGACTTACATTTGTATTGGTATCTTCATAAATGTAAAGCTGAATTTTAAAAAAGGAAGGCAAGAGGTAAGATAGGCTTAAAATTAAGTGCAAGGGAAAGAAGTGCTACCTACACTTAATGAAGGCAGCTCACTCAGAATTATGCTTTTGAAAAGATGAGAGAAGAGAACCACAAAATTAGTTTTTAGCCCCAGTCCTTTAATAAGGATTACACTTGGGAAACAAAGGCATAACATCAAAGGATGAAGCATGGCATGTGAACTGATGAACAGCTTAAGATACTAAACTACTGCCAGTCTTAGCATTAGGCTTTCACTTGACTCAAGTATTTAAAGTCACTGAGTGGCAAACATTTACAGGTTTGTGCATGATAAGATACTGCAGTGGCATTTATATTCATCAAAACGCAAAGTTTAGTCCCGTAGTCAAGTGCGCTGAGCAGAGCAAAAACAGCAGCAGTGGGCTAGGAAAGCTGCAATAAACTCTGTTGTTCACCTAACAAAAAAATGCTTTTCATTTAGGCCTTTCTCTTTTCTATCAGCTGCCCACACTAAAAACAAAGCATGTACTGAAGTGAATTGTGATTGCCATCTCAATTTAAGAGTGGCTAAAGGGAACACTCTGGATTAGACTACTCGCATCCACTTCTAGGTAACACATTCATTTCTAGAAGGCATAAACCTGCTAATCTACTTTCAGAAATTATTCCAAAGTCCATTTTCATGCTTTTCCCTTCTTAACACCATACTTGATTGTTTCGCAAGACATCCTGAATCACTTAGGAGTTAGTGTCTTCCTACATACATTTCACACACCAGTTCTAACACAGACTCTTCAAGGCAATACAAAGATTTGAAGACAACATCTAGATTTGTAATCAGAGAGCCACTGAGAAGGAAGAGTCCTCAGTCAGGCACTCCTTCCAATTTCTCCCTCAAGTCAAAACTAATAATGAGCAACAGTGAGCCACTGAAGTGCCTTTGTTTTACTGAATGTTCCACAGCTCTGGGCTGATACAAGATTGCAGTGGAAAGCTATTTTTAAGTTTTCCATTAATTTCCAAAACCTCAGCTGCTACAAGTGGCAGTTTTAAAAAGTTTTAAATAATGCACTGAAAGGTACAGTATGAATATCTCCATTAGTGAAACATATATTTTGATTTCTTTTTATTCAGATTGATGGAGTTTAGTTAGGTGCTGTCCTCCCTAAGGAAAAAGTACACATGCACTGGTGGGTGCTGGAACAACTGGGCACAGAAAGACACAAAGGCTGAACAACACTACTCTTCCAAATGCTAAGTTTTCTAGAAAATCCTTCAAGTATGAAACATGACAGCCATCCATTACATCTCTAGGGAAGAGCATTTCACTAGCTTCTGTTCAATGTAAAAAGTCTTTATTAAAAAGGATGTTCTTATAGGAGTCAGTTGCAGAATAATGACACTTTAAAAAACTATAGAGGACGATGTATCACTAATTGCTGCACATTTGTTGTCCACTCATGAGCAGCCCTATCTATATTTTCTTTGAAGATTACTTTTTTTACAACAAGAAGTTAAATAAATACACTAACAAGTTCAGAGCTAGCAAAGCAGCAGCACATAGATTGCAAGCGCAGTGTCCATGCTACAGTTCTGTTTTCTGCCATGTTATCCATACTTGCAGCAAGGAAGTAAAGTTTCTGCATGCAGTACATATACTATTAATAAATATTTGTCACATTTTAGTAACATTATGGAAGGCTAATGGAAAAAATTAACTCCTTGGAAAGCAGCAGTGAAAATAATAGCTTGTGCAAATCTAATTGCAATGCCATTAGAAGTCAGGACAGTCAGAAAAGAAAGGTACCAAAACTTCCTTTCCCATTCCATTTGAACTGGTTGCCCACAATAGAAACAAACACTTCCTGTGACATTAAGTTGTCATCAGCTTCTGTGATTCCCAGTTCACTCAGTCTTTTCTTGTGCATCTGGCTCTTCTTCAGAGAAGTAGCCCCAAGTTCATTTGCAATTTCATAATTGCCTTCAATTTGTTCAGGAATCTCAGCTTGCTCATAAAGCTCCAACTCATCAGTTAGACATTCAGGTAGTTGTTCTTGCCTGAAGCCCTCTACACAGGCTGTCCCGTCACTTGACTGTGTTGGCTGTGTATCTCCTAAGTCAGGAAACAGTAAGAATGTCATCAACAAAACAGTCAAATCTTTTAAAACTCCTGGAATTAAGTTTTCCCCAGTCTTAACATTTTCACCTCATCCCACTCACTTTTTGGATAACTACTTAGTGACAGCCACAAATTCCACATATAGTGTAAGATGCTTAAGGAAAAGGTTTCTTCTTGAGATGACTTCAAGTTGCCAAGTGATAAGTGATATTAGAGAAAATTACAGTGGGTTTACACATTGCACTTAGTGATAGTTCTTGAATAAGACATAATGTGAGAAATACAGTTGTCACATTTTACTTACTGCAGAGAAAAAAATTCTGTGCTGGGAGCACATCTCAGCTCTAATGCATGAAAGAAAAAATGAGCAGAGAATTATCATGAAGCAGAAGAGCTGTAAGAAAAGCCCTATCTGCTTTTTGCCAGTGGCACTCTTGTTTCTGTATGACCCAAACAGGCCATCAGTCATACAGGCTCTGCTCAGCAGGGAGCACAGATCAGGTATGTAAGGACTTTGCAGTGGAAGTTCACACACACCATGAAGCACAGACATCCACAGTGTTTCTCTGCAGCAAGTTCATCCTTTAGGCAATTCCACTGTTCTAAGAGTTATGAAGATTTATTTCAGCTAAATCAATCTAGACATTATTAGAAAATTTAAAGAGACTTGATTTTACTGGGTATGCTACATTTACTAGTTTTAGAAGTTTCTTCTATAAAGAGAAAAATACCTTTTGTTCTCTCTGCTGAAGCATCCTTGACAGAGGGCACTGTTGGTCTAACCAGGACCACACCGTATCCTTCATTATTATGGATCATATTATTGACCAGGGTTATCTTGGGAATGTCATAATGTTCATCTAAAAAGTTCTACAGCAAAAAAAAGAAAATCCAAACACATTATGTCCATCCAAATGCATACAAAATATTCCAGTTTCAGGTAGAATCAGTTGTGTTGATTAGAATTTTATTATTTACCTGTGCAAGTGATATTGCAAAAGGCATTTTCTTTCTGGCAAGTAACAAAACAAGTGTACTCTTTGGTGGACCAACCCAAAGCAAACAAGTGCCATTATCATCATATGTAACATTTAAGATTTCCACAGTAAGGCAGCAAGGTTATAAGCTAACCTAGCTGCGTTAATTCTAGCAGCTATTAGCTTTTGTAAAACAAGTACATTTTGCTTTGAACTAACCTTTATAAGTATTCCCTCCTTGCAGTGGTGTATGCCATTGTTTAACAGGGCACACGTACTACCCGGATATATTTCCACACCAGCACCCTACAAAATAAAATGGATAGCAGTTCACAAATAGTTCGGGCACATTTCCAATTTAACTTGACAACTCCTTTGTGGATATTTGTGTTCATCTACAAGTTTGCCCAATGCACTCCAGCTTCACGACCTTGTTAACCAACTTAAGCAGCAATGCTTGAGGTTGAGGCCCCATAGATAATAGTATTGCCACCAGTCCATAAAAGCTCTGGTAAAGAGTAACTGCAGAGCTTTGCATTATTTTATTGTTCTTTAGTCATCCATCTCAACACTCAAAGCCCCATCGTTCTTTGAAATGTCCTAGTCAGAGTCTAATTCTGTGTTTATCATCCTTCTGTAAGAATCAATGAACAATGTGTCCAAAAAGGGGCATTTCATTTGCAGAACAAATGCAAGCTTTAATGAGAAAATTATTTATGGGCAGAGAAAACAGAAAATCACTTTAAAAGTACTGCAGAACATGAATCAGTCCACCAATGCAGCAATGATTATTTCACAGATGTGCCCTGTTACTACATCAGTGTCATGCCATCACACACAAATCTGCATGAGACACTTCGCTGGATACTATTGGAGGCTACAAGACCCCTGGGACCAATCTCTTACATTCAATAACATGTAGCTGTCCAAAATGAATTTGTAGAGGTTCCCTCAAGAGTGACAGAAGTCACCCCATTACAGGCTATTATTGCCAAGCAGAAATCCAATCTTAATTTAGGAAAATAAGCCAGAGTTAAGAATTTGTTTGTACCTTGGCACCATATAGATCTGAGTTTTTCATTAATAGCTCAGCTGATGTTCGTACTGTTATGCCTGTAGTTTCACATTGTAACACACAATTCTCCAGAGTTGTTTTCCCATGGTGGACATCTACATACACAGAAAAAACAAATATTGTTAAATGAATTGGTTATGCAAAGGCAAACCCCTCCTACAGGCAGATGGACTTGTAGCAAATATTTTCATTTTACCCACTTCAGGTTAATTTTACTGATTTGCTCATGCATGGTTTGAACTCATGCTGTTTTTTCTAGCATAAGCAGAAACACTGCTGCAAGGGAGCACTAGTCAAAGATTTGTCTTAGAGGTTTTTTTAGCTTTTTTTTGGAAAGTGACAGCAACTATTCTTTTCGTTACATTCCTAAGAGACTTTTGAATTAATAAGATATTAAATACATGTATACAGGTGGTAATAAACACTTCAACACGTTTAAAACTAAATGTCTTTTGAGGCAAAGTATTAATTAGCACCTTCTACAAAGACAGAAGGCAATAGCAAATAAAAATTTAGGATTGAGGCCCAGTTTGAATGTGCTGTCAGCAAACCAAGTTCTACACTACTTCTACAGCCTGTGCCATTCCTCAGTGGAGAGCTGGCTGGGTTCAGCTACAGGTGAATATTGCCATGAGGGTTCTTCTGTGGAAAGAGGAATTATTTCCTTTTCCAGGTAGCCTGACACAGGCTGCGCAGCAGTCAGTCAGGTTTCCTTAACAGCAGAAAAAGGATCAAGTCAAACGATCTTATCCAGATATACGAACAAAACACAAGAGCCATAATAGCTTGAAAGAACAAAGAGCAGAAGTCATTTTGATGTACACATTGTAAGTTAAAAAAAAATGAGGAAGCCTTGTTATTTATACATTTAGGTCTTCTCTACAAAATTTTTAAAGCTAGTAGTAAACTCCAACAGTGGGTCCCAGCTTTAATTCTAACAGCAAATTATGAAAGATTCACAAAAAGATTAAGATGCTTTGATACTCACTTAAAATACCCTCCACAGCATCGTGTTGTACTATCTTCAAATTGGAGATCCGTATATTGGGTCCTGCACAGTCAAAGTAGTTGTCTCCTTTCCCTCGTTTTTCTATTACAATATCATCTGGCAGGCCATAGCCTTAAAACAGAGGTGAAAGATGCAAGTCTGTTGAATAACTGGTAACAGTCGGGTGCTCAGTACATAAGACATCTAAATTAAATAGAGATGTTTAAAACTTGAGGTCTAATATCTTGAATAGGACTGTCCAGCCAATGGCCAGGCTGCATCTTACATCCCCTCTGCACCAAGGTACAGGCACTCAAAACCAAAATCAAGAGTTACTTTATTTAAATGATATACTATAAAATACAAAGTTATTTTAAACAGTTGCATAACTGAGTTCACATTTGCTAAGGCCAAAGTTCTCACTCCCTAAAAAATTTACAACAGAGTAGGGCAATGCAGTAACCAAGGACACACAGGCACCTGCAGTCTGCTTTCGAAGTACAGAAGTCCACTAGAGCAGGCAGAGGTTCCAAAGAGCATGGGGGGGAAAAAAAACAAGAAGTCACCACAACACAAGGAAATAAGTGCAAAGGACCTGATGTTGTTTATAAGCTTTACTCAACTTCCCTATTTAAATGAAACTTGGGTCAAAACTTAATGTTCCTGTGCTACACAGGCTTCCAGATTAATTCAGATTAAAAAGAAACTTTCACAAGCATATGCCAACATTGATTTACTAAGCCATCCAGAGTTGTCAGCATTCAACCACTTACAGGGAAATTTATGAGCATGTAAAGCTTTTATTGCTTGTCACTGACAAGAATCATGATAAGGAAAGCAATAATGCCATGTCTATTAAAGCAGCATGAGTCCGATCATTTTCTGAAGGCACACACAAACTCAGATAAGAAGTGTCTGAGCAGGATACTAGCTTTTAACCAACTATATAAATACTGTAATGTGCAAGTAGAAAGGTTAAAAAAAAGAAAAAAAAAATCTTTGAACAGGAGTTGGCAGAAAGTTTTAAAGACAGATTTAATGCAAAGTTAAATGATTGATACTTTAATACACTATGCTATCTAGAAATCTTTTCCCACTGCTACTAATTTACAGTCACCCCTGAGGAGGAGGCGGCGTGGGGCAGTTTACTCCCAGTACAGTAAGAGAGCACCACAGGACAGCAAATGGCAGGTCTAATTTAACTTCACACCACTACTGAATGAGGTTATTATCCAAGGCAAGAGTTTTAGGAATAATTGTCTTAGACTACCTGCAGTTTTACTAACCATGCTTTTAGCTTGTTTTACACTTCACTTCTGAAGTAGCAGCTCTAGCAGTAAGAAGGAAGCCGGTGACAAGACAAGGAATAAAGGAAAGGGTTCACCTGCTGTCAAGTGGTGTTCAACACACATGGTCACGGCTGTATGTCCTGCCTGTAAGCTAAGCGGCTCCAGAGAGCTCAAGGCAATTGTCATCCAGTAACACTGATCCCAGATACAAGACGGGCTGATACTACAGGTTCCCATCCAGCTTGAACAGCTATGTACAAGCAGAAGGGAAGTTCTTAGGTGCCTTTGCTACACATTTTTGTCAAGTGTTAAGGTTATCCTTACCATAATTTCCTGAGCTGCTAAAGCTTTAAACTTATTTAGTTCTTGTCAATTTTTATTTATCCCTGACTTACTAATCCTCACACTTTCAACCTTAGTACTGACTTGCATAGTGGCTGGAAAAAAAAAAAGCAAGCTTTAAGCAAAGGGACATTGTATCTTTGATGAGTCACACCTTCATCCAAGAAAGCCACCAAAACAGCCAGCTGGTCAGATTAGTGCCAGCAAAATTTTCCTTGATACTCCTACTTCAAACATTTCTGGTTGCTACTATTGCTATAAAAGATTCTTTAACAGAAGTCCATATAAGAAGATTAAATACCCTGACACATACTCATTATTCAGAGTGGTTTGTACTAAAGATACATATTTATACACCTTGCTCCTTAAAATAGAGCAGCTCATCCTTTAATAGGTGTGCTATTGCACCATTTGTACTACTGTTTCCTCAAAGCTAGAAAAGCAATAAATTCCATCCCACACAATTTTATAACAATGTCATTTTTGCAGATAAAGCACTTTATTGAGGTCCTTTATCCTGCAGGTGCATTGTCTATCAGCATGCCTATCTATATAAATCAAACATACACATGAGAAGGGCAAGAAAGAAAATGACATACATAAAACAAGAAGGGCAAGAAAAATAAAGTCCAGAACAGCAGGAAATTAAAACTCTCGGCCTTCTTCCCATTAAGAAGCTTTGACAAGATAAAAATTAATCTAAATAAGTATCTGAACAGCTGCACAAACCCCAGTGATATACAGGCTATTACACTGCAACAGAGCATGCATGCCTAAAGCAAAGGAATTACACTGAGAAATCAAGAATTGTGAGGAAGAGATAGGAACATATTCTAGACAAAGCAGAATTATTTAAAACAAATATTTTGCAAGAAAAACAATCACATATGCTGTATCCTATTTCTAAAGAAAAGATACACACGTCAAATTAACAGCTCCCTCCTCTACGCAGGCACTTCACCTAACGCAGACTTACATTGGTGCCCTCTCCCATCACTGACATGCAATAAGTGCCATAAACTAACTTCTAACAGCACTTGACTCTTTCCCTCTGCATTAACCAGTGTTATACTGGCAGTGAGTCTCAGCATACCTCTGAAGCAGATTAAGCCATGCAAAGAACAAGGACATCTCTCAAGTACTCTTAAGTTACTGGCTCTAAAAACTGAAGACTCTCAGAACGACTTTTGTGCTTCCTAGATTAGAGAGGATTCAACAGAAACATGAGGGACTTGATTTTTTTTTTTCTAATATCTATATAATCAGGATATATCCAGACAAATACTTAGGAGGAAATGATAAATTTGCTATTGGCAAAATTCGCAGTTTATTGCAGAAGTATGGCTAATGAAACAGCTTACTCCATCCTGCAATTAGACATGGCTCTAAGCAGCAATATGAACACTTTGAAAAAAAAAAAAAAGAAAAAGCTCCTGCCAAATACTGCAAAAAGTAAATCCTTACACAGAGCTAGTTTAAGTCATTCAGTTTACTTTGTTTTAAAGGTGTTTATGCTAGCAAACCTTCTACCTTCTAGTTCAACTGAATCAGCAATGCAGAATATGCCATCTACCACATAATGACCAGGACAGATGATGACTGTGTCTCCTTCATAACAGGCATTTACAGCTGCCAGTGGATCACTGTGAAACTGTAAAAGACAAACAATGTAATCAGCTCCTGAAGAATGCTATAAAAATGGATGCATTTATGCCCTTAAAGCTTGCTTTTCAACTAAATGTTGCTGCTTTTGCTTAAAAAAAAAAAAAAAAACGGCGCCAGTAATACACAATTTCTACTTTGCATTCAAACATCATAGGACTCTCTGGACAAAAACAGCCTTAAAACATTCCTTTGATGTTCGTGTCCCGTCCAATCCCCCATGAGAAAACCAGGGCAGAGATACAGATTGAAGAGCATATGCACCGGAAAGCAAACCTCAATATGGCCTTGGTTCCAGGCTAACATTTGAATTGTGCCTCAAGTGACTTGCCATGAATTACTGAAAAAAAAAAAATAGATGCCAAAGCAAAGAAAAACAACTCAGCAACTAGATTTGAGCTGGTATGAACACTGACATAACACTTCACCCCTGGTGCAGTCACCCCAAAACAGAGTTTAGATATTATAGTGGCAAATATGGGGTCCACATGGTCCTTTTTCTTGCCCAAAGAGGGCAGGCTGATATCCTTCACAATATTACTGGGGGATTCTGTATTGAAGGATAACAAATATTACAGAAAGACTGCATATTTATTGCTTCCCAGCAAATTCCAGGGTAAGAGCATTTTTCAATTGCCAAGTCAGATTTATAGCCCAAAAATTAATCCAGGACCTTGCCCTGCGGCTCCATTTTGGTCACCTGTAATTCATGAACTTGATCGGAATACAGCAAGCAATTTCATTTGGGTCCAAAGAATCCAGACTGTTCTTAACTGCTGAAGTGGTGAGTCCTGTCTGAATTCAGTAAAACTAACCATGACTGCTCTATATTAAATATATCTCCTGGACAGAACTAAAGGAACAGAATGACATTTCTTTCTTCAAACTCTAGATCATTATCAGTAGCACCAAAAGACACAAGTATCTCAAAAACTAGATGTAAGTATTATGCCTTACCACCTTTCACTGTAGAATTATCACAAGTGGTTTCTCTCAAACACTGTGCAAATGTAGTAACATGATAAATTATTCTTCCACACCGTTTCCTGAGCAGAAAAAAGTATTAGCAGACAGACAATTCCTGTTACTCTACCTGTATTTCTAGTTCTTCACCACAAGAATCAGGGCAAAGTTTGTCCCTTATCAGTGACTGCAGCAGACTCGCCATCATGGTTGAGGATACAACATGAACGATCTTGGTACCTGTTGGTCTCGGTCCTTTAGCTTGGAGACCACTGTATTTTTGGTAACCAAACACATACCTAAGATAAGAGCAACAAAGCCATCAGTTCTTTCTTCAGTAAAGAACATTCGTGTATATTTCCCCATATGGCCCTCCTCCTCACACAAATCCACTAAGTACCTCAGCAGAGGATTCTCAATTAGTTTTAGCTTTTGTTTTAAGTGCTCTATTTTCTCATACAATTTTAGTCCTTCCACCATGGAGACGTTTTCTACTTCTGAGTCCGAATCACTGCTTGATATGCTGTTCCTCACATTTAAAAAATTCCTGTAAAGCTCTTCGCATTGAGACAACAAGTTCTGGTAATCAGCTACAAGCCCAGAAGGCACACGGTGTTCAAGGATGTCATAATGCCTGCAATTCAGAGCAAGGGATCATTATATTTTGCATTTACAATTTTGCAAGATCAAATACAAACCCAGAGACCCAAGTTCTGCATCAGTACTTTAGTCAAGATTCCCTGAAGTCTGTATCAACACCGCTCAATTTTTTTATTGAAAGCAGCAAAACCAAAAGTCTGGACAGACACAAACATACTACTTCATACTAATATGCCCATCCACCTTGAAAGATTATACAGTTATCAGAAACTAGTCTAAACCCAAGGCATAAGCACAGCTATAAAAAAATAGTAATAATTTAGAAGGTAATTAGATATAAAAATTAGTGCATTTTTATGCATTTATTAGAAAAACTGAGAAAATGTCTGAAATAATAGAAGTCCTACAATGTGAAGTCTCTATGAGCAACAATCTAAACCACCTGGACAAAACCACAAAATGAATAAGAAAGGCTTTATCAGCACCAGATGAAGATGTGAAGGCACTGCATAGGAAATTTTGCGCTATCTCAAGAGCATTCTCTAGAAATGAAATTGCAGGCCAGACAATGCCAACCCAAAGTTGTATTTGCAAAGTCAGAAGGACAAAGACATCTGCCAGCTAGACAGTGCCAAGAACTCCTGGGCCAATTATGTAGAACCAATCATGGTCACTACAGAAAAGCTGGACAGCAATTAATGATACAAATAAAACAAAATTTAATTATCTCACACCACTTTTGTAAGGAATCAGTTGAATACAGTGTAAATAGCTCTATTCAAGATACTCCAAGAAACAAGGGCAAAGATGTTCCCTCAAATTCCAGAGGTTCTTTAAAGGGTGCACTTAAAGCATGCTGCAAAGAGCAAGAAAATTTGTAGTCAGAGCAGTCAATAGCTATACAGTTCCAATAAACAGGGCATACAGAAACACAAGAGCCTCACAAAATTTTGGCAATGTGGTTATTAGAGGCAACAGAGGAAATCAATACAGTGAGATTAACAGCAGAATTTATAGCAATACAGAAAGATAAAATATTTGAAGGAAACAATGTTGTACATACTTTGACCCTGAAACGCATGCTCTACATTTCAGAGCTGGTCACTATGAAAGTGCATACAACTATCTTGTTTTTTCAAGCTTTACTGAAACAGTTCATACAGCTTTACTTGCCTCAGAAGACTAGTACCTAATGTGCAGTGTAAAGATACTGTCTGGTCTCATTAAAACACCGCACACCAGAGACCTAAAAAGTTTAAAGCGTCATATGTTTCCATGCATTGAGGATTAATGTTATTTGAGCTGATCAGTGCTTAGATCATAACACAGGATAGCACCGTCAGCGTAGCTTGGAGGACAGGCTTTATGTCCAGCATGGTATGGGAGAATAAGAAAAGATCATGTTTACTTTTCTGCTTCAAGACATTGTTTAAGCATTTGAGTCTCACTAAAATGGTTGTAAGGCCACGCACAGTGTTAAAAAAAACCCAAACATTATCCTGTGGCCCATCATTGCATTCCAGTTTCATTCCATGCAAAGTCTCCATAAGGTCTCAAAAACTCAGCAGAACAGCCATTTGCTGGAGCATAAACATATAACCGCTTCAGAAACACACACACTATCTATATATAACACTTCCTTCTAACTTGGACGATCTCAGAAAAACACAGGCATGGAGCCCTCAAAAGAGAGGCCTGTAGCCACCTTTATATTGTGGGTAAATATACCAGTTTTCTCTGTAAAGCAAGTGCTATATGCTATATATTCTAGCACAGGTAATGCTGTATTCTAATAGCATCTCAGGGTAGCTAACAAATGTTTACTGACATAGTTCCCCAGCATCATAGCAGTATCAAACCTGGATATGAATGACACAAACTTCTGGCTACTCATGAGCCTAGGTTATAATAAGTAAGGAAAAGGGACTGAAAAATAACTCTCATGAAAGAATTAAGAAAAAGATAGCATGTCAAATCTCAGGGGAAAACCTACACTAGAAATCACTTGTCAGTTATTCATTCCAAGTATGTTTGATGGTATGCTTTGGTTATTTAGCACCCTCGAAAATATAACCAGATTGTGTCTTTGTGCACTGTTTCAGTTCCATATGACAGGACAGCATTAAAAAGCCACCTTCAGAAAACCTAATGCCAACTAATCCCACTAGGGAAAGAAATATACACATTCCTCCTTCAGCATGACCAATTTACAAGTTTTTGTTTATATTCAGTTTCATTCTGGTTCTTATTCTATGCCCAGAGGTATCAGAATTTCCCAGTCCAGCTTTAATTAGGATTAGAATTCATACGCCTGCAATTTGAAGGAGGCTATAGCTGGGTTTGGAGTGCCATCTGATGGAAGGTCAAGGATTACAGGGAAAAACCGAGGGTTCAGAAATCAAAGTGGCAACCTCAGTCATACTGTCCTTCCATACAAAACTTTGACTATCAGACAGTAAATGCTGTTAGAACAAACTTGCTTTGATGTACTAGTGAATGGGGTTGGGTTTTTTTAATCTAGTTGTACATCACTATTCCCACCCTTTCCTTTTTTACCCTAACATCAAATATGTTGCACTTACAATCTCAGTCGAGGCTCAACACACCGCACAAAGTAATCAAAATCATCTTCTTCCTCCTCATCCCAGATCCTCCAGATGCACTGGTAGAAGAACCTTTTGAAGCAAAGTAAGCATTTAATCACATAAAGGAGGCCACATATACTTGAGCAGAGGCAACAGCACTAGAAACACAAAAAGTAACCAATTTAAGAATTTACCTCAAAGCACTACCTCCCTCCAATTCCATGTTACTGTCCTGTGAACTATTTAGTATACACAGAAGTTACCTTTCTTGTCTGTTGTTTAACCACATAACGAGTTTCATTTTGTGTATTTAAGTTCAAAATTCAAAATAGTGAGTCCCACTTTCTTCAAAAGAGAATGAACACCTAAAAGCTGGATTTGAAAACAAGACTTACACTCTTAAGGTCCTGAGGCTTTTTGACTGTTTGGTTTTGGGCAGGAATCCTTCCACTAAGCTTTCTTTTTGACAATGAGTTTGTCTCCTCCATCATTCAAGCTTTTATCTTCACCACTGAGTAATTCTCAACAGAGCGTGTCTCTTCTCCCCTTTTCCTCCCACACCCACCACTTCTGAAACAGACCATTTTCTAGATGGAAAGGTCACTCCTATTTTATCTACGGCCTATTTGTAGACAGTTTTCAAACAGCACATAGTACCTGAAATCAAGGGAGACTGTGAAGAGACAGACAGATGATAAAGCAAAGAAAACAGAACTATGTGAACAGACACCTGAAGAATAAAGAGCAAATTTAGGGGAGGAGGCAAAACGTAGAAAAAGAAAAATGGGACCAAAAAAATCCACCAAAATGTTATAGAAGAAAGAATCACTGCACTAGAGCCAGCAAGGTGATGCATCCCAAGGAAATCTGGGGTGAAGAGAGGGAAAGCAACAGAAATTTTTTCTTCCCCTTTTAACACAAAGGCTGACAAGAAGCTGCAGCTGAATGTGCCTTGTGATTGTGTGATTACCTGTAGCTGTAGAGGACACCACAGATTTTCTTTGTGAGCAGCCTCCTCATAGTACCAGTCATGATTTCCTTTGGAAAGCTTGGCTTGTGGAACTGCCAGCATGACCACAAGAACTCGGGGCACCACCCATTGGATACTAACAGAGTGCAATTGTTCAAGACAAAAATCAAACCATGAGCATTTTCTTACCTGACATGCTCTACAGCTAGTGCTGTCTGATCAAACTCTCCTGACTCATCATACACAACCCACAGCTCCTGCAGTGGTATCTGACACTCCTTCAGCTTCAAGAGTTCCTGCATGCACTCCAACGTAAAGGTGCTAACCTGTGACTCGCACAGGAAAGGCTCACTGAGTTGCACAACTGCTTTCAGAGCCGAGTACTCCACATCAACCACCTATTGGAACAAATAGTTCTTAAGATTCCTCTAGGCAGAACCTTAGATATAGCTGAGGACTAAAACACTATATGCATAAGTCAGCAGGCCACACTGCAAGTGCCACCTGACCCACACAAACTAACGCATGTTGTACAGTACAGCAAAGGCAAGCTATTCAGCTGAAGTGATAACCCCAGAATTAAGCTTCTCAACCACACACATAGAGCATTTTCCACATACAAAACTTTGAACAAATCCCTCCTAATATTCATATGAGACCAGTGAGTTTCTTCCCTGGTTTGGTTGTTTTGTTTATTTTTTTAAACAGCAGACAAAAGCAGTATCCTCAGAAGCAAATAAATCCATATCTTATAGTTCTCAGGGACTCCTTTGGGGATCATTTTTCAAAGCGCCCACAAGACACAAACAACCCAAAGAGGTAGTCTGGACCAGTGAAAACCATTTTGTCAATAATTGGGCTGAAAAGCTGAGGGGGTACAAAGTTTTGCCCTCTTCAAACAAGTAATGGAACTCCAAGTTTGAACACCCAAGTTTTACACAACATACAAGTCAGACATTGGGAGACCTAGAGAACAAGTACCCCAAAAATCAGTGGGCCTATGACAGAAGTATGCAATGCAGAAGAGCTACTGTCAATACCAAAGTGGTTTAGAAAGGAAGAATTTTACTGATAAAAACTGATAAGTGATCAGAGCCTGATATTTGAAAAAACAACATTACAACAGTCAGCTCTAGACCAAGCACTTAACCTCTCTGTGCCCACATAGTTCTGCCTCATGGCTCAATTGTGCTGACTTAGTGTTCCTCCTTCCCATTTCAGAAAAGGAGCCCTTGGAAGATGCTTTTATTTAGGTACAGTCCTCCCACCAAAATACTCAGACTCTAGGATATCCCTGAAATTAACACATAAGATGTTTTTGCCACATAACCTTCACACAGGTAAAGTTATCCATGCTCTCTATTGCCACTTTTGGTTGAAAAATCATCTTCCCAGTTCCAGAGAATCTCAAGACAAGAGATTGTGCAGTGCCCTGGCACATAGAAAGCATAAGTAAATGCTGTTTAAACTTTTGTTATAGCACTGATGAACCAATCTCACAAACACAACAATTATATGCTTTGTGCCCTGCTAACAATCAAAGTTCAAAAGACCACAGATGACAGGCTATCAACAGAATGGAACCAAGTCTCTCTTATTTTCAAGATATCAACACCCCTTTATGGGTGCACCTCCTCACTGACAGTGCTGTAATTCAACAGCTGAAGTAATTTTTAAATGTTGGGCAGGCAAATCCCAAGTTTGAAAAATCAAATCAAGCCAAAAATAGAAAGACTACCTAGTGTGTGGCTTCCTAAAGTTGTAATGCATACTGTAGCCCTGAAGAGCTGGTTCTTAGTAGTGTCTCACTGCAGTGACAGCCTCTCATGCAAGTATCACATCACAGACTCCAGCCTCACAGTTCTGGGTGAAGGAATCACACCAGTGCACAGGACACACAGTGTTCTAGAACAAGGCTTCCTTTGAAAGAAATTGCTACTGCTCTAGCCATCACTGGCAATTACATATGAAAATGTTACTATCTTCTATCAGCTCATAGAGAGGTAAATGATGTAAATTGGAGACAAATGCCTGAACGACTGCATTTCATTTACCTCAACAAGGACCTCAAACACATTAGTGCGCCAGACTGCCTGCCATCCAGATGGTTCAAGGACCTTCTCCAGGTACTCAGCTATGAATTCTTTCACCTCAGAAGCTTTGCAGTCAGCTAAAAAGAAAACGAAGACAGTACATTTATGCAAGAAAAAGAAAAGTCCTCCAGATCATTGGAAAATTGAAGTCACAGTTGAAATGTTCCTCAGCCGCATCTAAAGTCAGACTTCATTCTCTTTTCCTCATAACTGCCAGTGTTTTTGCTGTGACTGTCAATACTGAGAGAGCTGGAGGTTCATTTGTTTTGTGCTTCTCTGAAAGAAGAGATCCAGTAACTTACAGATACTGAAGGTTTCAGTGCCAGCAGTATTGAACAGCTAACCTGTGCCTTATTTTAAACAGTCTTACTCCACACAAAAAAGTTCTAGCAAGATCATTAAAACAAGGCACAGAATGCAGTATTAGCACCTTTTCCTTTCAATCATTCAGCTTCTATTCCCTTATATTAAAACCATTGCATCCCGGTCCACCATCTAGAGCAGCAGAGGTTACAGCATAACCGATGGCAGTACACTACAACTTTTCTAGTCCCCATTAAAAGCTTCTCACAGTTTAACATGGAATCAATTACAAGAAGCCTGATTACATGTTCGTTTTCTACTATGAAATTACTTACCCAAGATGTAATCCTGGTAAGCTTTAAATCGCTCATAAAGCAAAAGGTGATCGGTGTGAAAAATATCTGGAAAAAGCACATTCCCATCTGGCACAGTTCTTCCTAAAGCAGTGCCCGGTTTGTCACGACTGCCATAATCGCTACAGGAGTCATTATCTTCTTGGAGCAGATCTGGGGAGAGGAGTGAGAACAACACAAACCCCACAACCTGTCAGTTCAGTGCAATCTTCACTCACTCCTCTATTCCGAAAGAACTCCACTTCAGCCCGAGATCTATCATGAAGCTGCTTTCTACAACACATCTTAAATTATCCTTGGTAAAGAGAATATCTAACTTGGTCAGTTGTTCTCATCAGAATATTACCCTGTCCCAGAAAAGGATGTCTCTCTTCGCTGCTACCTACTCTGAGCTGAGTTACATGCAGGTTTACTTTGTTCTGTGAGCAAGATCTAAAATGCTTTAGGTAACACACTACCCATTCCTGCACATACTATGCTTTGTTAGTACACTGCCTGCATCACCCAGACCCGATATCAAGCAATAATCCAGATGATTTTGGAACATGTGTAAAATCAGCTGATACACATCACGATCCAAATTAACGCACAAAATTACTCTGAGCAAAGAGCAAAATATAAGACATGATAAAACTGCAGATACTAGTCTCAGCTAAAGAAGCATTTCACAGCTGCCCTTTCATTCTCTTCAGTCTTTTACCATTCTTCAGTACAAACATTATTTTTATATTTTAATAAACTGACAAATATCAAAGTCCCCACAGAAATTCCAAGCAACATGTTTAGCCAGAAAGGACACAGCATTGTAAGTTTTAGCCCACTTAAATAGGCATTGGCTGAATCTTTACTTTGAAGGACACGATGCAACGACAGCACCCCTTTAGAAGTCACCAAAAAAGCGTCTCCACTTGTCTTCTCATTACAGACTCAGTGAACTTAGTCACTGTCAGTCTTACAGTATCTCTCGGGCCTGGTCATCCTTAAATTCAGAAAACATTAGACACAACTGCAGCAAAGCAAGGTGCACAATTAAATCTTCCTCTCCCCACCTCCCCTTTCATTAATGTAACAGCTCAAGACACCCACAACTATCCACAACTTGATTCTTTAACAATCCATAGGCTTCTGTTTTCATTAGACTCCAGACTGACATTAACTGAAAATAAAAATTTAAACAACAACAAAAAAAATCATATTCTATCTTTAACACATCCCTTACATTTCAGATTATGTTATAAAAGCTAGCAGTTTGGACCTAAAAACTTTTCAAGTTCTTACACATCTGGGGCCAAACTCAATCAACAAAACAAAAATCAGCACCAGTGTATGAGCTAATGACAAGTGCTTAGATGATACAAGTTTTCTCTGTAGCAGAACCACTGCAATAACATGTAAAGAAGGGAAATGAAAAGGTGATTTTAATCAAGTATGATTTATGAAATATTTGAAAAGATTCCTATAAGACTGTAGCTGTTAAATGTACACTGTAAACAAGAATTTTTTTCCTACCCACCCCATAATCAAATCCAGCAACTCTGATGGCACTGCCCTGCACAAGCACCGCGTACATCCCAGAACAAGCCATTTAATTTAACTTGCTCCTTCTTTACAAACTGCAAGCCTATAACCACCTACCAAGAATGACCTGGCAGCGAGCAACAACACTCAATAGATACAGGAAGGACCAATATTGTGCTACTACGGCAGAGGGCAGGGGAGTCACTTCCACTAACGCATTTCTCCTGTCAGTATATCCAACACATACATGTTCCTGGACGCTGGTGTAGGTGCCTGCGGTACGCATCCGAAAGACCATAGTCAAAAGGAAAAAAAAAATTTTTTTCCTTTACTGCGTTGATCACCCAAGGCATCCCTGCGTTCCCTCGCAGGACGCCGTTCCCAGCCCGGTCCGCACCCCCACACCTGCAGCCTTACGAACCGGGGCGCATCAAGCCGCGGCCCGGGGCACCGCGGCCCCCGCACCGGCCTCGGCTGGGTTTTGCCATGGTGACCGCCCCGTGCCTCGGGGCGCCGCGGGGACAGAGGCCCCTCTGGAAGCAAACCCGGGCCGGTCGGCCTGTCCGTCTGGCGGGCGCGGCCGCTGGGCGGGCGGGGCCATGGCTGACTGACAGCTGGGCGGTGTTAAGGCTCGCTTCCGTTCCGACCTGTCCCGCCGCCAGCGCAGGCGCGCTCCCGCG